AGTGAACGTGAAAAGTTTTACAGACACCGTGAGTGAGTGTGATTCACGATTGAATTTTACCCTGTGAGTGTGAGTGAGCGTGAAAATTTTTGTCGTGAACGTGAGTGAGCGTGAATGAAAATTGTCCAATTTACCGACACTACTTTGAATATAGCGCACACTTTTACCATCCAATCGCTATCATTCTGGCCGTCACTCATCGGGTACTTAAACTGGTCTCTCAAGTGTGACAATTGGTGCGCCCGAAGTGCGGTCATGTTTTCGGCGACCGCATCGCACGCCTCCATAAGACAAGCGTATCGGCCATTGGATCTCATCTTATGCTTCAACAACTTCTTGGTCTTCGCGTCCAAATGACTGAACGCATGCTTCGGTAGAATCGACTCGTAGTTGAATGACTTCCCGCAGCCCTCGTAGTCACACACATATTGGCCGTCGTGTCCTTTCGGCAGTGGTTTCCAAGGCATCCAATTATTGCCCAAATTGTCGTCCATTTCATTGTCACTCAAATCGGGTCCGAAATAGTTCGCGAACGGCTCTATCAAGTGTAGCATTTGGTGGCCGCGTAAGTGATAGATGTCTTTGGTTTGGGAACAACAGTCGTATGCAAAACAAAAACACTCCGAATTGCAGAATCCAGTCATTATATTCCTGGTCTTTGCGTTCAAATGATTAAACGAGTGCTTCCGTAGACCACAGGCTTTGTTGAAAGACAATCCGCAGTTCATGTAATCGCACGCATACTTCCCATTCGCTGCCTTTCGCAGTCCATTCAAAGCAATCCACTCGTCCTCCACATCGTTGTCACACAAATCAGGTCTGCATTCTTGGGAACCGTTGTCATTGTCGCTGTGTATTGAAGTGTACTTTCGTTTCCGTGTATTATATGTTTCGTTCAATTCACTCGCGTTTTGGTTATCACTTGAGTTGTCGTTTAATTCATTAGTGTTATTATTCAAGTCTTCGTTCATCTGATTATTGTCCTCATTGTCTTCGGCAACACTTCCAGCGACTGTCACATCATTTGAATCGTTATTCGTATGACAATCGACAGCACATTCCTTTGCCATACGTCTGTGTAAAGTCATCGCGGAGTGGGTCCGGAAGCCCTTCGCACACACGGGACAGTACGAGCGCCCGAACAAAGGTGGGGGCAGTTTATTGTCGACCCGATACACCTCCGNCTTTGGTTTGGGAACAACAGTCGTATGCAAAACAAAAACACTCCGAATTGCAGAATCCAGTCATTATATTCCTGGTCTTTGCGTTCAAATGATTAAACGAGTGCTTCCGTAGACCACAGGCTTTGTTGAAAGACAATCCGCAGTTCATGTAATCGCACGCATACTTCCCATTCGCTGCCTTTCGCAGTCCATTCAAAGCAATCCACTCGTCCTCCACATCGTTGTCACACAAATCAGGTCTGCATTCTTGGGAACCGTTGTCATTGTCGCTGTGTATTGAAGTGTACTTTCGTTTCCGTGTATTATATGTTGCGTTTAATTCACTCGCGTTTTGGTTATCACTTGAGTTGTCGTTTAATTCATTAGTGTTATTATTCAAGTCTTCGTTCATCTGATTATTGTCCTCATTGTCTTCGGCAACACTTCCAGCGACTGTCACATCATTTGAATCGTTATTCGTATGACAATCGACAGCACATTCCTTTGCCATACGTCTGTGTAAAGTCATCGCGGAGTGGGTCCGGAAGCCCTTCGCACACACGGGACAGTACGAGCGCCCGAACAAAGGTGGGGGCAGTTTATTGTCGACCCGATACACCTCCGGCGGTGGTAATGCCTGCCGTTGTGTGTCATTGTCTTCACTCACTCTTTGGCTATCAATTGAGCTGTTGTTGTCTTCAGAGTCGACCACTTCTTCAGCGCTTGTCTTCTCTCTATTGTCTTGTGTTTCATGTCTTGTATTGTCTTCTCTTTGAATCAACTCTTCATTCATGAATTCATCGCTCGTTTGACAACCAATTGAATGAAAATCTATTTTAAATATTAATTACAAATAAATTATAAAAACAAAAAATATAATTGAATTAAAAATAACACAAATATTTACCATAAGTTTTGGCCAATAAAAGTAATTTACATTTCATTAACTCTGCGGACAATCCATTGATCTCTTCTTTCAATTCATTGATCATTGAATATAATTCACTTCGACTTAAGCCTTGAATATCACCACTAATTGATCCCATATTTCGCTAAACAATTCAAAATAATGTGAAAAATCTACACAAATATCACGTGTTTTAGACATTTATACAGACATTATGTCCGAAAAACGTCAATAAAATCATAACAAAAAATTTAATATTTAAACAGTAGTTAAAAGTTTATTAAAGTTTCATATAATTTAAAATAAGTACTTAAATTTATTTATAATTTAATAATTACTAACTATTAATTAGTATAAATCAATGATCTAATCATAAACAATGCGATAAATAAAGATAATAAGTCAATAATAATGAGCATAAAATATTATAAAAATTAATTTTATTTAATTCTAATAAATACTGTATTAAGATTTGATTTAACAATGTAATGTAATCATGATTTTGTGTGAGTCTTCATATGTGCGTCCATTTGACCACATTTTGATGTCTTATAATCACATCCCGTATGAGAGCACTGGTAGTCATCCAAACCCTCGTGTTGTCTATGGATATGNCCCGTATGAGAGCACTGGTAGTCATCCAAACCCTCGTGTTGTCTATGGATATGATTGTTAAGTCGGATGCGATTTGTGGTCTTATAGTCACACTCTGGCCAATGGCACCGATACTCAGCCATCCCTTTATGCATTCTCTTGACGTGCATTTTTAAAGAGCGTATATTAGTATAGGTTTGCTCACAACCGGGCCATTCGCACGGGTGGTTAACCGCAGCCGTATGTGTGTTCATGTGATCCTTTAATTGGTATTCATATGCATAACTGCGTCCACACTCCAGCCAATCGCACCGATATATATGAGTCGTATGTTTTTTGTGTTTATGTTGAGTCAATTTCCCCGGAATCTGAAAGCTGGCGCCGCACTCATCGCACGCGTATGGCTTCGGGTGTGTCTTCACGTGTCGAAGAACAGGTGAGAACAAGTGTTTATTTAAGTGATACTTTCCCGGGAAAGTTCGGTCGCAGTTTTTATAGTCACACACAAACTTTGGTCCCTTTGGCAGTGGTTTCCCAGACATGTCTTCGTCGCCCGAATTGTCACTCAAATCAGGTCTATATTCGCTGTCATTGCCTTCCATTGAAGTGTACTTTCGTTTCCGTGTATTATATGTTGTGTTTAATTCACTTCCTCTTTGATTATCACTTGAGTTGACATTCAATTCATTAGTTTTATTATTCAAGTCTTCATTCATATGATTGTTGTCCTCATTGTCTTCGGCATCACTTCCAACGCCTGTCACAGTTGTGCTCTTGTTATCTGCTTTTGTGGTCAAATCATCGACTATTTGACTCTCAATTGATTCGCGATTCAAGTTTTCAGTCATTTGACAATTGTTTTCGTTGTCTTCGGCATCACTTCCAACGTCTGTTTCATCATTCATATGACAAACGATGCCATCATTTGATTCATTGTCTTCAGAGTCAACCACTTCTTCAGCGCTTGTCTTCTCTCTATTGTCTTGTGTTTCATGTCTTGTATTGTCTTCTCTTTGAATCAACTCTTCATTAATGAATTCATCGCTCGTTTGACAACCAATTGATTGAAAATCTGTTTCTAAAAAATTAATCAAAAGTTAATAAAAAGTAATTTCTTTGACAATAATTACTAAAACCTATGAATGGATGAAAAGTTTGATTCAAACAAATGATACAATTTTTATCGTTAATAGCATTCAAAACATTGATTTCCGAAAACAATTCACAATTAATTTGATTATTATTTTGTAAACTATTTATATATTTATCACATTTTTTGGCCAATAATTTATATCTCAATAACTCTGTTGTCAAGCGATTCACAGATTGTTTCAATTCACACACAATTAGACACAATTCACTTCGACTTAAGCCATGAATATCACCACTAATTGATCCCATGTTTTGACAATTAAATAACAAATCAATTAAAACAAAACATTTAATTCAAAGTAAATCAACAAAAATGTAAACAGAGTTCACACGTGTATAAAACCAGTCATACATTACGTCCGAAAATATCAATAAAGTCATAACAAAAACTTTAAACCAGTTCTAAATTATTGCTAAATCTTTTTAAATAATATATTTAAATGTATATGGTAATAAATATTGTGGTATTACCATTACTGATTATTTAATGATCATAAAACAATTAATTTGAAAATGATTTCTTATAAAAATAATAATTAATTATTTACTACAATAGAAGTTATTAATAAATATTTCCAGTAATCAATTAAATACTCAAAATTGTTTATATTTTTTACAAAAGTGCTAAATAAATTTTTAATGTAATTAAGGTTTTGTGTGAGTCTTCATATGATTATCCATTTCTCCACACTTTTTAGTCTTATAATCACATCCCGTATGAGAGCACTGGTAGTCATCCAAACCCTCGTGTTGTCTATGGATATGATTGTTAAGACGGATGGGATTAGTGGTCTTATAGTCACACTCTGGCCAATGGCACCGATACTCAGCCAATCCCTTGTGCACTCTTTGCACGTGCACAAAAAGTGAGTTTATATTAGTATAGGTGTGTCCACAACCGGGCCATTCGCACGGGTGGTCAACGGCAGCCGTATGTGTGTTCATGTGATCTCTTAATTTGGTTTTATTAACAAACAGTCGGTCACACTCTGGCCAATCGCACGGGAATTTTTTGGAGTTATTATGTTTGATGCTATGCTGTGACAACTGGCCCGGTATCTGAAACCGTGCGCCGCACTCATCGCACACGTATGGCTTCGGGTGTGTCTTCACGTGTCGTAGAAAAGCTACGCGAGTGATGCCTACGAACTGGCAGTCGGTTTGCGGACACTTTAACGGTTCTCTCAAGTGTGACATTTGATGGCTTCTAAGGTTACGAATCTCTTTGAATACCTCATTACAGGCGCTCATAAGACACACGTATCGGCCGTCGGATCTCCTCTTATAGACCAGTGATTTCTTTGCCTTTGCGTTCAAATGGGAAAATGAGTGACTGTGTAACTCTTGAGGGTATTTGAAGGACAGACCGCAGCCCCTGTAGTCACACAAGTACTTCCCGTCGGGGCCTTTGACCACATCTTTCCCACCCAACCATTCATCACAAGATAATAGTTGTTTGATATCACTATTGAGTTCACTTTGTGTATTATCTCTGGTTTCTCTCTTTTCGCAATCAGTCTCACCATTCAGTCCACTATTATCTCCATTGTTTTCGCCATCACTTCCAACATCTGTCTCATCATTAAAATCATTCAAATGTGACATTTGATGGCCTTTAAGACTATATTTGGTTTTATAAACCGCATTACAGCCGTCTATTAGACACACGTATCGGCCGTCGGGTCTCCTCTTATAAACCATCGATGCCTTAATTTTCTCATTCAAATGTGAAAACGCGTGTACTTTTAAATCATATAAGTCCCGGAAAGTCTGGTCGCAGTCCTTGTAGTCGCACACATACTTCCCGTTCTGTTTTGGTGGCCGTTTGCAACCCAACCGCCATTTATCACCTCTTTTGTGACCTTTTTCATTGTCACCCAAACCGGATCCACATTCTTCTTCTCCTTCTGTACCATTGCGTTCACTCTCTTCTGATTTGTCATTATTTTTTGTGTTTAATTCACTCACTCTTTGGGTTTCAATTGATTCTCCATTTAAATCTTCGGTCAATTCATTCGGACAGTCAATCGGTGGACACTTTAACGGCTCTTTCAAGTGTGACATTTGGTGCGCCCGAAGGTTACGCATGTCTGTGAACACAGCATTACAGGCGCTCATAAGACATATGAATCGGCCGTCGGATCTCTTCTTAAAAGCCATTGATTTCTTGGTCTTCGCGTCCAAATGTTTGGTCGCATGTTTCCGTAGATCCGATTGATCTGTGTATGACTTCCCGCAGTCCTTGTAGTCACACGACAACTTCCCGTCGGCAGCTCTTCGCGACCTTTTCCTATTAATATATTCATCGCCCGATTTGTGGTCCATTTCATTGTCACTCAAATCAGGTCTATATTCTTCAGATTCGCTGTCATTGTCTTCGCTATGCATTGAATTGCGCTTTCGTTTCCGTGTATTATATGTTGTGTTTATTTCACTCGCGTTTTGATTATCACTTGAGTTGTCATTCAATTCATTAGTCTTAGTGTCTAATTCACTCGCTATTTGACTATCAATTGATTCTGCATTTAATTCTTCGGTCAATTCATTCGGACAATCAGTTTGCGGACATTTCAACGGCACTTTCAAGTGTGACATTTGATGGCATCTAAGGCTATCCATACCTCTATAGACGGCATTACAGGCGCCCATTAGACACACATATTGACCGTCGGGTCTCTTCTTATATACCATCGATGTCTTGGTCTTCGCATTCAAATGACAAAATGCGTGCTTTTTTCTGTCCCACGAGTCACGGAAAGCCCGACCGCAGCCCTCGTATTCGCACACAAACTTCCAGTTGGGTTTCCGCCGCCGACAACCTGTTCGGCATTTATCCACTGATTTATCGTCCATTTCATTGTCACTCAAACCAGAACCACGTTCTTCTTCACGTTCGCTACCATTGCGTTCACTTTCCTCTGATTTGTCATTAGTTTTTATGTTTAATTCACTCACTCTTTGGCTATCAATTGACTCTTCATTTAATTCTTCATTCAATTCATTCGGACAGTCAATCAGTGGACACTTTTCCGGATTTATGTGTGTCTTTACGTGCTTTTGAAAGTCGGCGCGTGTGTTGGTAGCGAACTGGCAGTCGGTTTGCGGACACTTTAACGGGTCCTTCAAGTGTGATATTTGGTGCCCCCGGAGGTCACGGATGTCTTTGTAGACCGCATTACAGGCGTCCATAAGACACGCGTATCGGCCGTCGGATTGCTTCTCAAACTTCAGTGCTGTTCGTGTTTTTGAATTTAAATGATTGTATGAATGCCTTTGCAAACCCGAGGGGTTACCAAAAGGTCTGCCGCAGTCCCTGTAATCGCACACAAACTTCGAGTCCAATATTTTTTGTAGTGGTTTCCCAGACATTCCTTCTTCGCCAGAATTGTCGTCCATTTCATTGTCACTCAAATCTGACCCACAATTGTCTGCAAACGGCTCTTTCAAGTGTGATATTTGGTGCCCCCGGAGGTCACGGATGTCTTTGTAGACCGCATTACAGGCGTCCATAAGACACGCGTATCGGCCGTCGGATCTCTTCTCAAACATCAGTGATTGTCGTGTTTTAAGATTTAAATGCTTATATAAATGCTTTTGCAAACCCCATGGTTTACTAAAAGTTCTGCCGCAGTCGCTGTAATCGCATATATACTTCCCGTCCGATCCCTTTGGAAGTGGTTTCCCAGACATCACTTCATCGCCAGAATTGTCATCCATTTCATTGTCACTCAAATCAGGTCTATATTCTTTAGATTCGCTGTCATTGTCTTCGCTACCATTTAAAGTGTACTCTCTTTTACGTGTATTATCTGTCGTTGTGTTCAATTCATGAGAGCATTGATTACCACTTGAGTTGTCATTCAATCCATTAGTTTTATTATTCAAGTCTTCATTCATATGATTGTTGTCCTCATTGTCTTCGGCATCATTTCCAACGACTATCTCATCATTAATATGACAATCGATGCCATCATTTGATTCATTGTCTTCAGAGTCGACCACTTCTTCAGCGCTTGTCTTCACTCTATTGTCTTGTGTTTCATGTCTTGTATTGTCTTCTCTTTGAATCAATTCATGATTAATGAATTCATCGCTCGTTTGACCGAATAATTTGAGATCTGTTTCAATAAATGAATCAAAAGTTAATTAAAAGTGATTTCTTTGACAATAATTAGTAAAACCTATGAATGGATGAAAAGTTTGATTCAAACAAATGATACAATTTTTATCGTTAATAGCATTCAAAACATTGATTTCCGAAAACAATTCACAATTAATTTGATTATTATTTTGTAAACTATTTATATATTTATCACATTTTTTGGCCAATAATTTATATCTCAATAACTCTGTTGTCAAGCGATTCACAGATTGTTTCAATTCACACACAATTAGACACAATTCACTTCGACTTAAGCCATGAATATCACCACTAATTGATCCCATGTTTTAAATGAAAATAAAAAATTTGAAAATATTTCCGGAAATGTAAACAGAGATCACATGTGAACACAATTTTACAGACATTACGTCCAAAAACATTAAAACTTAAGAAAATAAAATTTATTTAAAAATAACATTTAATGTTTAATTCAATAATAAATCAATTTAATAAATATTACAATCAAATAAACTTTGCGTAAATTACGATAAAATTAAAACCATAAAAATAAACTCAAATTAAATTCTGTTTTGTGTAAAAAAAAGTTAAGATTTTGTGTGAATTTTCATATGATTATCCATTTCTCCACTCTTTTTAGTCTTATAATCACATCCCGTATGAGAGCACTGGTAGTCATCCAAACCTTCGTGTTGTCTATGGATATGATTGTTAAGACGAATGCGATTTGTGGTCTTATAGTCACACTCTGGCCAATGGCACCGGTACTCAGCCATCCCTTTATGCATTCTCATTACATGCGCTTTAAGAGACCTTATATTAGTATAAGTGTGTCCACAACCGGGCCATTCGCACGGATGGTTAACGGCAGCCGTATGTGTGTTCATGTGATTTCTTAATAGAGATTTATATACAAACATTCGGTTACACTCCGGCCAATCGCACCTGTATTTGGACGCGTCGTTATGATTACGTTTGTGTTGAGTTAATATAAACTTTTCTTTATATCTTAGTCCACACGTGTCGCACACGTATGGCTTCGGGTGTGTCTTCACGTGCTTTTGAAGTGCCACTCGAGTGATGGCTACGAACGGGCAGTCGGTCTGCGGACACTTTAACGGCTCATTCAAGTGTGACATTTGATGGCCTCTAAGTCTACGAAGTTCTTTGTATGTCTCATTACAGGCGCCCATAAGACATACATATCGGCCGTCGGATCTCTTTTTAAAC